TCACTAGATGCACCACCGTGTTAGATTCCTACCGCCCTGCTTTAGGTACTGTACCTATAGGACGAACAAGCCGTTACCGGCCCAAAGTTACGCGAACTGAATTTTTGATAGGCCGGTTGAATGTTACTATGGACTAACAATATCTTGCCAAATAAAGATAATGGCCAAAAACAAAAATTATAGGTAGTGTTACGCGTTCCGAGCCGACCCTCACTCTCCCCACAACACCACTACGCTCAGCTGCTCGATGCATATCCATGATACAATGTTAATCATAGCCAAAGTCATTATAGTTACACAGCCTGTATCTTTATTACTGTACCACAGCTTATAGGTCAAGCAGCTATCAGAGATTTTATATCTGCTAATAGTAGTATCGCTAAATATATCGTCTGCAGTGCGAACAGGGTGATGGACGTGGCTCTTCATCATTTCCAGTTGGTTTGCATCAGAACACTTGCCGTTCAGGGTTGAGCGCTTGTCGCTCTGCACGCACTTGTTATGAGATGGCCTGATTATTGGCTTATCTCACAATTATGCCCAAATGTGTCTCTCACTAGCAGTGCACCACCGTGTTAGCATTCCTACGCCCTGTCTTTAGGCTACTCTTAGCCTAGCGGTCCCTGTAATACAGAGGGCGGCGTTCACTAGGGTCTCTGATATAGGCGACCCATAGACTGTACCTAGGAGCTCAACGTTACCGGCGAAAGTACGCAACTGTGAATTTTTAACTAGCCGGTTAAATGTATACTATTGCCGACTAAACATTCAATATCTTGACAAATAAAGATATTATTAGTTTATGATTTTATTTACTTGTTGTTCTCAGAGAAACACTGTATAAACATATTATAGATTATTTGTAACTTGACCTAACACATGAAATACGACGATATTATTCACATTGCTCATGTATAGGAATGCATAGTAGGTATTGTTAACGTGTATTGGATATTTTCCAATTAAAATATTACGATCTCATACCTACTGCTATACTACATTTATACATTAGAATAACTATATTGCGCGTCACGTACGCGGCCTGATGTGTTTAGCCCGTTTTTCTGATCTCTAGTTAATTGACCTCTTCTATCTAACGCCGCTTCTCCAAATTGTCTACCTTCTACAACTCTAGCTCGGTTCCTATTTTACCCTCTCCCTTTCCTCTATTTACGCCACATTATTTTCTCTTGATAAATATAATAGCCTAGTTAATCGGATTTTTTAAATGCTTAATAGGGTTAGAGATATTTCGAGATTACCTGAATGTGAAATATTTATCCCCGTCTCTCTTTAATAATGAAAGGGCGCCTATTTCTCTAGTATCTTTCTCTAAAAATTTCTCTCGCTCTCTCTCTCTCTCTCTCTCTCTTTCTCTCTTTCTCTTTACTCTCTCTCTCACACACA